ATGTAAAAATATCTTGATATTAAATTGTAATAATACAAAATGTTATCAATAAAAAACTGAAATCAGGTCTCACTCTTAAAAAAAAATATATATATTTATTATATTAAGAGAAAAATATTATATTTATAACACCTATGTTATATAACATTTATATAGTTTTACTTAGGGTTCAGTTTTAAGATAAATAGAAGTTTTTATTATACAATATATATTAGAAATAAAGTTCCGATAAATTCTGATTTCAGTTTTCATGAGGTTTTTGGGAACCTGAACATTTTAATTTAGAGTACCCAGTTCTATTTACTTAGTACATTTTTGAGATATTGCATAAGGTATTATACAACACAATGCTATATGAATATAACTTTTCTTTTTTTATTTTTTTATTTAATTTTGTTTATTTTATTTTTATTTTATTTTTATTTTATTTTTTTGTATCTGAAATTTCTATAGATTTACAGTATAAGTTAAAACCTCTCATTTTTAAAAAAATAAACAAATCAATAAATTATTGAACAAAAAATTTTATATGAGATTATTATTTGAACGACCGCATTTTTTTTTGATTTTGATATAAATTAAGTTATTTAAAAGCCTCAGATCTTGTGGCTGTGCTAAGGGCAACGTGATCCATTTTATCTAATTGGAGATAGTATTTCATAGCCCAATCAGAACTTGGGATGGAAATTAGGGCTCCCAGAATCGCACATAATTTGGTAAATTATACCAAAGAATCGCACATAATTTGGCCAATTATGCCACAGAATCGCACACAATTTGGCAAATTTGTTTCATATCACATCACATAATTTGAATTTTGCCACCGCATAATTTTGATTTTGTCACCACATAAAATCACTGTGTTCAGTTTATGGACACGTGATGATAATCATACGAAATTCAATGAATTTACATAAGCTCAATCGGTCAAAATTAATTACATACATGTAAACAAGGTTGATGTTTTCGTTAATAACGGAATAATTTGTCTAATTATAGGTAAGGTTTTCTAACTAAATACAATAAAATTCTTTTTGATTTCAATTTTGACATTTGTAGAAATGAAATAAAAAAATTTTCATCTGAATTTGGTAAGTGGTTGTCAAAAAACTTTTTTCAAAGTTTTAAAATTGATGAAACAATTTTTTTCTAAGCTTCGAATAACCACTTGATCAAATTCAATGAAAACTTTTTATTTCAATTCTAAATATTCGTAAATTGAAATACATTTAATTTGGTCATCTGATGGGGCTTTAAATTGATTGATCACAATATACAATACAGCAATTACGATACTCAACTTTGAACAAGTAATCGCTACCGTATAATTGCGAAATAATGCTATTTCGAATAATGGCCTGAATTAAGCTTAATTTAGGCCAAATTTCAATTTACACCCCTGTGCGTTATCTCGCGATTATGCGGTAAATACTTAAAAAACCAAGGTGTCCTTTTTCCTTGGAAGCCTTAATATGTGTTAGGGAAATAAGTAAAAGTATCGGGAAAGTGAAATTGTCAGGTAGGGATGCTAAACCGTTAAACCGTTTAACTACATATGAATTTTAATTTATCCGCCATTTTATATAATCATGTGCCATGATATTTTTGCACGAAATTATGTAATTATTTGTGCAAAATATAACGGAATATTTTCACTATTGGCATACGATAAATAACGGAAAATTTTTTGCATCTGAGTTAATTTTGCTCATGTGCTGCTACACAGCACATGGAGTGATTCACCAAGGGAAGTAAAACTGTCGAAACAAATTTCATTTATCCGGAAAACTCATATGATCATCTGCACGTTATTTTTTTCATGTGATACGATGTAATTGTGCTTATTCAGATTCCTACCAATCATGATCATAAATTGGGCAAGTAAGGAAAATTCTATTTTACCCATCTAGGGTTGTATTACACAAAATTACATTTTTCATTACATAAAATTTCATTGTAACTTACGAAACTGTAATGTAACTTTACAATATATAGCGCATTGTCACATGATAATTGCACTAGCATTACGTACAAAAGTTTTGCCAACATTAATAGATATCCATCATTTGTGTTCAGAACTTTAATTTTATATTTATTTTTATGTTAGCTTTACAGAAATTTTGGCCCAAATTATTCACATGATCAAAATTACATGTAATTTTGACTTCAGAAACTTACACAAACTTACGTAAAATTACATAATTTTCCAACCCTACCCGGGTCAAGATCTCCTAGAATTTAGAGTTAGTGCGGACCAGAATTATGTTAATGCCCGGCCGGGTTTTTAGTAATAAAAAAAACCCTGGTTGGCATCAACATAATTCTGGCCGCAATAACCCTAAAATTTTGCTGAGGGTTATTTTTTTTACCCAGTCAAAATAGAATTTCCCATACAGTAATTTGGCAAATGGTTGACTGCACGTGCCGCAAAGCGGCACGTGTCATTTGCTATTCGCAAAATTTTGCCCAATAATGTGTACTTATATATTACTAGGAAATGCGGCGCATTGTGTGTCCAGAGCTACAAAATTTATCGATCGTTTAGTAATTATTGTCGCGGATCATAATTTAAAATGAAATCTACATTTTCTACTCAACCTGTTAACCTTCTAAACCCACTAATACTTGTTTATTATAACTTTACAAATGCACCCCAAAAAATTTTATTTTTCGAGATTTTATATTATAATTTCATGATCCGCCACAATTATTCTATGATCGACCAATCAGCATCACGGAACAGAATTCTCACGTGATCAAATGATCACTTGCTGTCGTAAAAACAGATAGTCCTCCGCTTTGCTCCGGACAATAATTTTTAAAAGTTTCGGATTATAGTTTGGAGTTTTGGATTATAATTTCAGGTTTGGGGTTTCGGTTTTTAAAAAATCCGAAACTAGTTTCGTTTCGAGTACCAACTCTAATGATGTGAAATCTGCGATGGATTAAAATCATTATAATTCCGGTAATATTTAGCATAGGTACTTACCTTAACCTTAATAAAACTTCGCATTAAAATTTTGATTTGACGTAAATTTTTATTTGATACACAGCATATACATCATTATTAGTTTAAAGTTACGTTCTTTTTTTTTGGTTTGTGCATGTTAGGCTATGCAAGAGGCTGAATGGTAATGGAATGGGATCGTCGATACAGAACTTTTATTGTGAATAATATGGTCCTTGGATTCAGATTGAATTCCTTTACATTAATTATGCTGCAAAATTTTTAATATGCTTAAAGAGGAAACGCGTATATCCTCAGAAAGCATTTCAAAAATAATATTTATTAGAACAATCGCACATATTATCATGGGGATTATATGAATTATAATTATACCTTTATATTATGTACAGTTCGTTTCTTATTATTGTTCATCTTATGGCATTGTTGTAAATCATAAATGTAAATTTCAATTCAAAATACGTATACAAAATCGTCATATGATAAAGTAATTTAGTATCTGATCACCAGTTTCACCAACAACATTTGGGCTAATTTATTTAAACCCCAAAATTTAAAAGGCATTGACCGATCAGTTGGGGTCGGGATTGTCATTTGACAAATAAAATATATATAGTAATTTAATAATAATTAAGATCATTACGTATAACGATAAATAAACATGATCTGATTTATTGTTGATTTGATTGGTACAATCTTTAATAAAATCATGTACGTACTATCACAAAAAAAGTAATCGGTTTAAGGGGGTAATCGGTTAGACGCCGATTCTAATATACAATTTCTTAAATTGAGGGTACTTTATATGACGTACATGTCAATTGACTGACGCACATGTCAATTGACTGTACAAAACATTATAACTAAGAGATCATTGATCAGAATTTTAGTGACCAAAAAAAAACAAATTAGCCCTGACGATAAACAAAGGCCTTAATTTAATCTCGTCTAGTATTATAACATGTTGAAGTTTGGCGATTAAATTCTTATAAAATCAATATATATAGTTATTACATTGCATTTATTTGTTTTTATTAAGATATAAATTGCTATTAAAACTTTTTTAAAATTTTTTTTTAATTTTAAAATTTTTAAATTTTTCGTAATCAAATAAAATTTATAGTTATGCAAAATTCAAATTTCGCTATTAAATCTGGTGGGCAGACTGGTGTTGAAAGAGGTACATTAGATGCTGCCAGAGATTTTAATACTCAAACAGATATATATGATACAATTATTAATATTACTGGATGGTGTCCAAAGGGCAGAAGAGCAGAAGATGGACAAATTTCAGATGAATATCCTCTTAAAGAAACTGCAACGGATAGTTATTCTGAAAGAACAGAGTTAAATGTAAAAGATTCAGATGCAACATTAATTTTGCTTTCAGAAAGGGATAGAATTGACAATGGAACAAAATACACAATAGACAAAGCTATAGAATTTAAAAAACCTTATAAAATAGTCTATTTAAGTGATAATCAAGAAAATGTTCCTAGATGGTTTAATGAACATCAAGAAAATGTTCTTAGATGGTTAAATGAACATCAAGAAAATGTTCTTAGATGGTTAAATGAACATCAAATAAATCATTTAAATGTAAGTGGACCACGGGAGAGCAACGCGGACGGAATTTATAATAAAGCATATGATTTTATATTTGGATTATTAGTGCTATTATCCGAAAAGTTTAGTTTGAAACGGAATTACGAGTATGGAAGATGTGAATTTTGTAATCGTTACAACACTTCAGAAGTATGGTGTCAAACATGTGATACTCAAAAATTAGCTCAGATGTGGACAAGTGGAGATAAAAATATTGATGATTACATTAAAAAACTTCAACTTAAAACTGAAAAGTATGACGATGCTATTGAATGGATTCCTTTTAATAGATTAGGCTTTAAAGAGATGAGTGGTGAAACACATTTAGCAACATGGTTAGATGGTGTACGAATAATTCAATATGAGAATAATAAATACGTTCGTTCACGTTCATTATCAAGTATAGTTGCGCTTAAACCATTTCCCGATTCCCAAAATTCATTAAAATTTTTAAAAGAAGTAAGTTAAATCTTTTTTGTGTATTGATTTGTTTAAATGGTATATTAAAGTTATTTCATATAATTTATAAGTTAAATGATATCAGATAAAAAAATAGCGAAATTAAAATATATGGAATAACTAAAAACACCACTACCAATGAATATATGTTAGTATTTGATCGATATAGTCCCGAAACAAATTATATCGGTATGCATGGGAGTTGTGTGCGTTGTAATCCAAAAATTTCAAGAGCATATGACCATCCAATAATTCAGGAGTGGACAAGTGGAAATAAGGATGTTGATGATTATATCAAGAAATTTCAATTTGAAACTACAAGATGTGAAGAAATGATTGAATGGATTCCTTTCGATAAATTATTTAATGTTCAAAAAATTGGTGAAGGAGGATTTGGTTCAGTATTTTCAGCAATATGGATAGATGGAAAAAGAAGTTTGAGCAAAGGTAAAAATATACAGCGTATGCCTTTATATAAAGTTGCACTCAAGACATTACCCGGTTCTCAAATGAATTTTTTAAAAGAAGTAAGATTATTTGTTTATATCTTAATATAAAATTATTTTATTGTATAATGAATTAATTTAAATATTTTTGTTTTGACAACAAGTTTAAAAATTACATGCGATGTAGACTGGTGGACAGTGAATATATAAGACTTGAAATATATGGACTAACACAGAACACAGCCACTAACGAATACTTAATGGTATTTCAATATGCAAACGGAGGAGATCTTAGAAATTATTTGAAATCAAACTTTACTGAACTTAATTGGAAAGGAAAATTGAAAATATTGATGGATATCGTGAATGATTTGGACTTAATTCATAAAGCAGGATATGTTCATGGTGATTTTCATAGTGGAAATATATTGCAAAATGAGCATATTAAAGGCACATTAAAATCCTATATAGCAGATCTAGGATTATCAAGAAAGAAGGAAGAGTCGGAAGAAGGCACTATGGTATATTGCCATATGTTGCACCAGAAGTATTGTGCAAACGATCATATACAACAGCATCTGATATTTATGGTTTCGGCATCATTATGACGGAAATTTCTAATGGAATGCCACCTTATTACAATGTTGAATTTGATGAAGGGTTAGCTATCAATATATGTAACGGTTTTCGACCGGAATTTGCTAAAGGCATGCCTGAATGTTATATCGAATTAGCAAAAAAATGTATGGATGCTAATCCTTCCAACAGACCGTCTGCATACGACATTCATTTTGAATTAAAGAGTTGGTATAGATTGATGTATAGTGAAAATCTAAAAGATACTGAATTAACGATAAAAAAAGCCTTTCAATCCGCAGATGAAAATATCCCATCAATAAAAATAAATTTACAAATTTATTCTCAAGAAAAATTTACAAGTAAATTGCTTAACATTCAAAACCTAAGTAATTATTCACTTTTTCAACTAAAAGTGCGCGAAATTATAGAACATTATTCTATATGCTAAATGGTTCTCTATTTACTTTTTAGATTCTGAGCAACTTAATCTTTCGATTCCATGATTATGATTGTCTAATCTTCATTAAGAAATCAGAATGCAGGACGATTTAACTAAACTTATTTTTTTTTTTAAAAAAAAAAAAAAAAAGTATTTTTAATAAATTTCAAAGAAACTGATATGTTCACACCTAATCATAGCAAAAACTATTATACTCTATAATATGCCGTTTAGTGCTGCGCATAGTACCCAAGGCTTTATTAAAAATATTTTTAAATTGATTAGTACTCAAATCTGATACCTTGTCGAATTTGTAAAACCTGTACGTATCGGTTTTGGGAATTTCAACTGTATTAGATTTATATAACAGAAACAGGCTTATTAGTTTTGACTTGGTGACTATCTAAAATCTGGTTGGATGTTATATTAAATTTCACCAGTTTCTCACCGGTTTCACCAGTTTCACCAGTTTCACCATCATTCACCAAGAGTTTCACCAGTTTCACCATCATTCACCAAGAGTTTCACCAGTTTCACCATCATTCACCAAGAGTTTCACCAGTTTCACCAGTTTCACCATCATTCACCAAGAGTTTC